CCTCCATTCTCTTCTTGGGATCTTGAGCATGCACACACATGCTCCTGGCGTGAGTTTTAAGTCACCAGGTCCAGGACTCAAGCCACGGTCGTCTACATGGGTGTCCAGAGACATAACTATTACGCCATCTGCTGGTCCCCTCATTTCCCTCTTTTACGGCCAATGACAACTATCGTGTTCCTTTATGATTCTATGAACTAGTTTGTTGGGGCTCTTTTTGATTTGTTTTTATATTTGCCATAGGGCAAGGGCACTCACCAGAGAAAGAGAAAGGGAAAGTAAGAAATCACCCACTGCAGGGAACGGCTACACCACAATCCCTCCTCTTCCATTCTCCTCTCAAGATTTTGGGCAAGTGTACACGCACGCCCAGAGTGATGTTTAAGCCACCAGGTCTGGGACGCAAACTATGGTTGGTCATGTGGGAATCCAGGGCCACCTGCAGTGGCAAGTGGTTGATCTGGGACTCAAACCATGTCGATCAGATGGGAGTCCACCGTGCCACCTGCTGGGCCTGAACTAGACTACTTTAGATACCTCATTTAAGCAGAATTGTACAGTGCTTCTATTTTTTAAATTAGTCTGTTTCACTTCATGTAATGTCCTCAGGTTCAGTTAAAAAGCATATAAACACAGGACCAGCAGGTGGTATGGTAGTTACTTCCCTGGGCTCCCACATGGCCGACAGGTTCGAGGCTTGGACCTGGAGGCTTGCCTTCTCACATTCTCTCTCTTTCTCTCACTATGTCCTTCTCTAGTCAAATTTGAATACACAAGTAAGTAAGTTAAAAAATAAATAAAAATAAAGTTCAATAGAATAATTGTTTTTTTTAATCCTTAAATAGGATTCAAAGCCAAAGGCTTTTAAATAACTAAGATCATGCTCTTTATTTTTTTTGGAGAGGTGTTTTTGCTATAGGGCATGTGCACTCGCCAGACAGACAGAGAGAGACAGAGAGATTTAAAGAGAGAAATCAGCCCCCAGGGGGGATGGCCATGCCGCAATCCCTTTTCCTCCATTCTCCTTTCGGGATCTTGAGCACACACGCACATGTGCCCGGCATGAGTTTAAGCCACCGGATCTGGGACTCAAACCACGGTCGACTACGTGGGAGTCCAGCGACATAGCCATTACGCTAACTGCTGGTCCCAAGACCATGCTCTTTTAACACAGTAATACTCACACTTGGATGACATCGTCCCCAGGGAATAGTTCACAAGACCTGGACAGTTTATTGGAGAAGGGTTGGCTTTGGTGTGTGGGCAAAGATGCTTCTCAACATCCTGCAATGCACAGAACAATGGTCCCATGAAGAATGACTGGAACCTCATTGTCAATAGTGCCAAGGTTCGAAACCCCTGTTTTAAACTAAATCTTCTCTGTGAATGATTGACAAGAGACCAGGAAATTTTCCATGAGGACATGGGAACATGAAATCAAGTTTGGGGAGAAAAACAGGAAACCTGTAGAGCAAAAAATGTCCAATGCTGGCATTCCAGCAACAGCCAAGACAGGGCAATCCTTCCTGGTGGGGTCTAGATGAGGCCGGGCCCAGGGTAGGACAGTCTGGGGAGGTTTTGTCTCACTTCCCCGTGGATCTGGAGCACTGTGTGTAGTCGTTACCATAACCAGACTGACAGTAGTAGTCGGCCTCGTCTTCAGGCTGCACGTCAGAGATGGTCAGGTAAGCTGAGTTGGAGGAGCCATCTATGGAGCCAGAGAACCGATTAGGAACCCCCGACGGTCTTTGGTTATCCCTGTAGATCAACAGTGTGGGGGCACTGCCCAGGCGCTGCTGGTACCAGTACACATAATTGTCCCCAATGTTGCCACTGCTGCGGGTGCAGGAGATGGTGACCTTCTGCCCAGGAGACCCTGACACAGAGGAGGGCTGAGTGAACGTGACGTCAGCCCAAGATCCTGCAAGGAAAGACAAAGACAGAGATCGGTGAGGACTGAGCAGACCTGCTTCCCAGGGCAACAAGAGTGGTCCTTAACCCAGTGACATCTAGGTATCCTCCCAGAATCCCCTGCAGCGAGCCACCTGTGCAGTGGATGAGGACAGTGAGGAGGAGCAGAGGCCAGGCCATGATGGGGGTGTCCCAGGCTCCTCTTTGTCAGCCCGACAGTCAATAATGGGGCCACCAAGCTTCCTTATCTGTCATCCTGCTGCTAAGGCTGTGAGGTCTCCATGCAAATCTCTCCCTTCTTAGGGGCTGCAAAGGCCTCTCCTTCAGCTCTGGGCTCCACCCAAAAAAATGATAAACGGAGTGAGTGCTATTTTCCACCCTGTGTGTGCACAAGAACACCTGCTTGAATAGAGAAAACAACAGGGTGGGGGGTGCGGTGTGGGTGCGGGAGGGGCCCAAAGCAGGGGATTAGCACCACAGCCCCCTCTGGTGGATACAGGAGACTCATCACTCCTTGGCCAGTACTGGAGCTCAGAATCACTGCTCTCCTCACCCTCTGACCATTCCAGCCCTGGGCCTGGGTGCGTCTACACAAAACCCTGTGCTCATTTTACATTCAACCTTCCTATCTATCTGGACAGGCCAAGGGCCACCACTCTGGTCGAGCCACCTTTTGTTGTATTGGCAATAATGACTATCACAAGAGAGTGGGCTCTGTCTAGAAGGAGGTGGCAGTGAGGCTTCCGCCTTCTCCAGAGTGACCACCTGTGAGCCCTTCACTGATGGGGCCCCAGACACTCCAGCAGGAAGAGGAAGGAGCCCTGAGATAGGAGACCAAATGTCACCATTAGAATGCACCATAGGACCAGAGACTAGCAGTTAGCATAACGTCTATGTCACTGGACTCCCATGTAGTCAAAGGCAGTTCGAGTCCTGGACCCAGTGACTTAAACTCATGTCAGGCGCGTATGCGTGTGTGCCTAAGATCCTGAGAGGAGAATGGAGGAGAAGGGATTGCGGCGTGGCCATCCCCCCTGGGGGTTGATTTCTCGCTTTCTGTCTCTCTGTCTCTCTCTGTCTTTCTGGCGAGCACACGCGCCCTGTAGCTAAAACCTCTCCCAAAAAAAAAAGAATGCACCACAGGACCATAAAGACCCTGACATGACAGGAAGGGGTGAGCCTGGGTGTGGATCAGAGGACAACTGAAACAGAGCCCGTAGTCAGTCAATTCCAAGGAGGTTCGAAATAGATATTAGAATGAAAATTCTACAGAGCCAGAAGAATTGGAAGAGTTTGGGACAATTTGCCTCGGTGAAAAATTGGGTTTTCTAGGTAGAGCAGAGACATGCGTAAGCTAAATCTAGATTTTTCATCTTTCATTGGGCCAGTCTTACTTTTATTTTTATAATACATTTGTTTTAAGCAAAATGTGAGCCTCTTTATTAAAGGCGTTACGTGATTAGGGCCAGTGATTCTGAAGTAGAATAAGAATAAATGGTGTTTGGAGAGTAGGTGACCGACACGAAACCCTGGTGCACCATCTTTACCGTTTTTAACATACCATTCAGTAGTGTTTACGGTAGTCACCTTGTTGTGCAACACATCTCTAAGATGTTTTTATCTTGCAGAATGAAACTATACCCATGAAACATCTCACCCTTCCCCTTTTACAGCCATCGACAGCCATCATTTTATTTTAAGATTTTAGGAACTCGACTACTTCTTGGTTTGTTTTGGTTTTGATTTTTGCCATAGGGCAAATACACTCACTGGAGAAAGAGAGAGGGAAAGTGAGAAACCACCCCACAAGGGAGAATGGCCACGCCGCAATCCCTCCTCCTCCATTCTCCTCTTGGGATTTTGGACAAGTGTGCACACATGCCCGGAGTGATTTTCAAGCCACTGGGTCTGGTCTGTGACTTGAACCATGGCTGGTCATGTGGGAGTCCACCGTGCCACCTGCTGGCCCTGAATTAGACCACTTTACATACCTCCTATAAGTGGAATCATACAGTGTTTATATATTTAAAAATCATTTATTGGTTTATTTTGTCTCTACTAAACACATTGGTCATTCAGCATGTAAATCTCTCTGACTTCATTAGAAGCCATTTTAACACTTTTTCTCCTTCTTGCCATAAAAATACAGTAAGTAATTTGCTTAAAAGGAAAATACTGTGAGCAAGTATTCTGGTTTCCTCTCACTCAGCTAGCTAAGTTTCTCAGTGATAAC